CCCTCCCTCCCTCCCTCCCGCCCTCCAGCTAGCGTGCTCGGTGACGAGGTGACGTCCGTAGCCATGTGGCGTAAGTGCGGGTATGGCAATCTTCCATTAAATGACATGTGCATTCGGACAGTGGTGCAATGACACCCGTTTAAGGGCTTAAGGGTTGTTTCGGGCAAGGTGTGTGCGGGTTTTGGGGCTTAGGGGCAGCAAGTGCACGGCGTGGGGCCTACGGGTGGGAGCGCCGGCTTCTGCAAAAGGTTATGCAAGAAGACAGATTAAGATTTCTTACTTTCAATCGGCTTGGCTGTGCACGGCTTGGCGTGTGGGCTAAGGCTCCGTTAGAGTGACGTGCGATGGTCCAGTGGTTGTGGACTATGAGACTTGACGTGCCTAGACCGCATCCCGATGCCGGCGTGCAGGAGGTGTTGACATGTCCGTGCTGCTTGGGCATCTTCCGCCAGCCTGTGGCGCTTCCTTGCGGACACAATCTGTGCCGTCGGGAGCTTCGTGCTTCGTGTTTGGAACGCTTCAGTCAGGTAAAGTGGCATGCCGAGATCGTCAGAAATTGCCGAGGTGGCTGCTACGTCCAGGTATTTTCGCAGCCTAGCTCTTCTCGAAGATGTCCTCTGTGCCGCACGGACACCTTGCTGTGTGGAAGGGTCCGCATTCAAGACGTCTTGGTTCATTTCATCGGATGGTTGATCATTGACTCTCGCAGCGACAGGACCTGCCTCGATTTGAACTGCGTGTGAATGTGGCCCTAGCAGCGGTTTCGGATTCACTGCGCGCCTTCCAAGCCGTTCGAAGGCATGCTGGGCAAAAAGCGTTTGCAGATAATCCCAAGCGGTGACTCGCCCAGCTTGTGAGGCCGCACCCGCGGCCAAATCTTGGAGACCAGGGCGCGCAGGAGCCGGAAGAGGTCTCGAAGGAATGAATGCCAAAGGATGCCAGAGTCGGTGGTCTTGAAATGTACCCGTTACACTGACGTCCTGGCCAGCTGTCATTCTAGTATTCCATCTTGTGCTGCAGACCGTCCAGAGTTCTGTTTCATATGTGTTTCACAGTTCGGCAGGTAGCATGCATGATTTCATGCCGTCCTGCTTGACAATCCATATAGATGCCGAATGTTATCGAAAACGAGAAAGAGCCAAGATGTCTGGTGCTGGTTTTTTGATCTCACCAAGCTCGAGAGCTGCTTGCTGCCCCCCTCGGCTACAGGAATTCAGGTCTCGTGTCAAGTGCACCAACCACAGCCAGCTTGCCGTCAACCAACAGCAAAATGCAAGGACGGGGCGAGTTGCACCAGTGCCAAGGTAAAGCACGGCGGTGCACCAACAAACGAAACGCACTGCAGCCAGCCCTTCGAGACCCTTTGCAAAGTGGAGCCGACCGGTGTGAGCGAGCTGCAAGAATGTCACGTTTTTCCTCCATCGATGGCCAGCACTCTGCGCTGCGCGACTTGGAGCGCCAGCGCCTGGAGAAGCTGATGGGGCAGCTGCGCCGAGAGGTGGGGCATTCGGTGTGAAACTAAAAAGCAAGCGAGCCTTGAGGCGGTTTGCGACTGAGGTGGAGCCGAAGGCAGACAAGGTTGGCCGCCGCTTCCAGCCCCCAGGGCGGCGCAAGGAGCGGCCGGCGAAGCCGGCAGCCGTGTTGGATCCTGGTCCTGGCGGCCCTGCCACCCCTGGCGGCCCTGGCACCCCTGGCGGCCGTCTGGGGTCCGGGGGGGCGCCTACGCCCAAGGAGCCCAAGCCGCCGGCAGCGACGGTGCCAAGCGCAGAGATGGCCTGGTTGTTGCGAGTTAGCGAGCGATTCGACGAAGAGGCAAGAGAGGCGCCTTTGCCGGAAAGCCCCTACTTGTAGCGACTGCTCGCGACTGCAGATGACTGCAGGTGCACTCTTTTCTGGTCCAACACGGCCTGGATCAGTTTGTCGGTCCCTCAAGTGAAGATGCAGCCACGCATGGCAGTTTCATTGAAGATTTCCAGGCGCCATTGCTGGCTAATGGACCCGGCGCGCCTGGGGCTTCCCTCGAGGTGCCCACCGAGCGCAGCGTTCTCCCGGGAACCACGCCGCGTCGCGCCGCGTCGCGCAGGCGCTGCATTCAGCCTCCGAGGAGCTCTTGGAAGAGGCGCGCCGAGGGAAGGGCCGCCGTCTCGCGAGAGTCTCTCCGCTTTGAAACGGAAGGCGGGCTTACCGGCCTCGCCGAGGCGGCATCTCTTGCAGGCCCTGAAGGCGAAGCAATGCGAAGCACGGAGTCCCGTGGAGCCAGACTCCAGCGGCCTGCAGGGCTCTGCGGTTCAAGAAGACGCACCAGAGCCAGGCCAGGCCGTGGCAGATCCCCAACCAGCCGAGTTGCTTGTTTCAGGCCATTGAATACCATCTGGGGCATGGCGCAGGTGCGACCTTCTCGGTCTCACCCACTGATTGCCAGCATTGGGGCCGTCTTGGGCCACCGGCTTACTTCGCCCTCAAAACCTCGTCAAGCGGCAGCTGCGACGGGTGCTGAGGCACTTGCCTTCGGGCTGGCATCGATGTTCGCGAGGACCCAGCCCGACAACTGGAAGTCAACCTGAGGATGCCTGGACTGCCGGTTTAAATCTACAAGAGCCGGCAACATTCAGGAGAACAGCGCCCGCATTGCCCCACTCGTTGGGGTCTCGAGCAGAGAGAACGGCAATCGAAAGATGAAGCTTGCGTTATCGTGTTCTTGCTGTGAACTTAGTTCCAGCGCCAGTTGCTCATGCTGATGCAGCTGTGGGCGATGACAGTCCGCTTCCGTTGCTGGAGGAGGATGTGAAGGCAGAGGGACATGCGATAGGGAGACACAGCGGCTCAGCGGCTGTCAGTCACAAGTCAAGATGCGGTTCTCATGGAGGTGGGAACCCCGCAGGTGGCCGCGCCTCGGCTTGGTTTTTGTCGTTTTGATCTGGTGGGGCCTGGTGGGCCTCGGGCTCAGGAGCGTCGGCCCCCTTCGAGCAGGGCTTCCTCGAAACTTGCACAGGCAGACGAACGCAGTGGTTGAAGTGTTCCCAATGAGTCCAGTCACAGGCTGAGCCTGCACGGCCCGACAGAGCACTAGAACACAGAAGCTCCACCTCAAGTGCACAGAAGGCCCATGCCGAAGCCGCAATCTGTTGCATGACTGGTGCTCGTCGCTGAATGACGACGTGCAGTCGTGCAGGGCTGCTGCTACCAATGCTTCCGGCAAGTGTACGTGGCGAGCGCGTTTCACCTCGAGCCTGAAGAGGTTGGGGCTGTCGGATGCGAGGAGAGCAGACGCATGCACAGCACATCGCAGCACATGACAGGAGCGACAGGAGCAGACCTCCCAGGCCTCTCGGCCCGGCACCCCGTCGTCCCAAAGGCACCGAGCTCCAAAATCTGTCGCCTCTCGTGGGCTCTGAGTTCAGAGATGTGAGGATCTTCTGCAGCTCCGACTGCGTGGAGCGCTTTAGACAGGCCTCCGCTATGGGAGTGTGGTGTTTTGCAGCGGCCGCTTCAAGGGCAACCTTCGATCACTTTGGTCCTCAAGTTCTGAGTGTCATTCTATGAGGTGCTCGCGAGCAGAAGTGCTCGAGCAGTTGAGCCGCTGGCCTTGGGAGCAGGGAAAGTGTCTGGTGCGCAGAGGTTGGGCGTGTGTAGACAGTTGCTCAAACTTATTCCCAAGGCTGTGCAAGCTCCGGCAAGTGGTTGAATCAAGTGCGGCGCTGGAAGCTGCCGCCCAGCATGATGCCCGAGCCTTCTGCTGTGTGAGCGTGCATTCTTATCTTCGGCCGTCGCAGATGCATGCGATGCATGCTAACATATGCTCAGCCTAAGGATCGGATCTCAGTCGATGCATGAGCTGCTGCTTGAAAAGGCTGATCTCGCTGGGTGCAGATTGAAGCACGGGGTTCTACAGGTCCTCGTCCTTTTCCTGTTGTGTCCAGTCAGAGCCTTGCTGCTTTGTGTTTGTTCATCGGGTTCGTAGCGTCCGTGATTTTCTCGTCTCGCCTGTTGTGTCTGTGTTGGAACCCAAGTCACCCTTTTTATCCTTTCATCACGCGTGGCGTTTCCTCTGCAGCCAAGTTTGGCGTGATCGCCTGCGACCTGCATCTTGGGCACCCGAAACATCATTCACCGAGAAGATCTTACACACTCCGAGATACCCAAAGGAGAGCTGTTTGTGACAACCCGTTAGGAGCCGTGCATACCTGGCAGCGGCCAGATCGAGAGAGCATCAACACTGATGTGTATGATAAGACCTGAAGGTAGCAAGTCAAGTTGCCAGTGCCGTGACAGTTTTCCGAGTTTTCAGGCCCCTTTTTACTTTCCCCATGACCTCCATGCCACACGCCGTGCCGCCTGTCAAGTCACGAAGCCGTTTTATAGTGCCGCATAGCCGGCCATGGCAGAGTCTTGTTTGCACGGAAGCGGCTGGCAGCCTGTGATGCTTTTCGTCGCTTTTTTGTTTTCGACCACAGTAGGAGGTCGCTCAGCAGGGGCAGAAGCGTAGAAGTACCAGCTGTTTCCTTGCTGCACCGACCTCGAAGCCTAGGGCGATGATGCGGCGGAGAACAGGACTCTGCATTTGGACGCACTCTTGCACGGCAAACACTGGTAGAGATTCGCGGTCGATTGGCGAGCTCGGATGTAATTACCTGCATTGTCACTCTCTCATAGACCTGTGTTCCCGCTGGGAGGAAGAAGCATTTACTCAACCTGATTTGCGAAGTAAAAGCGAGGCTCGACGGAAAGGCCGTATGAGCGCTTATGTTGTGGAGGGTGTCGAAGGGATATGAATCAACCGCTTTACAAGTGTCCTGTGCTGCATTCCTGGCAGGTGGACAGCCTCAGCTTTCCCATTCCACAGTTTATTGTGATTGGGAAGCAGAGTGTTGGCAAGTCGCGCCTGATCGAGGCAGGAGACAGCAGAGTCGTACTTTCGCGCAAGCAAGACCAACCGCAGTGCAAATCGGACACCAAGGTTGCGTAAGTTTTTATGTACAGTTTAATCGCCATTGTAGCACGTGGGGGCGAGAAGCAGGGCGCGGCCCGGGGTAAGGGGGGGAGAAATACATGGTCCTCTGGAGACCAAGACGCCCTCAGCCTCCGGCCTCGGAGGATGAGCAGCCTGATGTCTGAATTGGACGTTTTTTTCATCCCTTCTGTGCAGCAGACAAGTCGTTCTTGGCTCCGGCAAGCTGAAGCGTGGACCTCGTATCGTGGTCCGGGCCGCTGCAGGCCCTTGCTGGAGAGACCTTCAACTTCGTTTCAGGCTCTTTAGGATCCAGGCAGGTCTCGGCGGTTTGCATGAATCTGAATATGGCTTGTGGACGCTCGGGGCAGGAGACCGACGGTGCTGGAGTTCCGGAATGTTCCGGGTTTGATGCCTTCCAGGCCAGCGGTCTGGCACAGATCCGAACGGCTTGCCCTGGCTTGCGGTTTTCAGGTGGTCTGTCTTTGACGAGAATCTCAAGAAATGGTCGACGTATCCGGTGCAAGAGGTGATGATCATCGTCGGCAATGCTCACGAGGCCAGTGATGGTCGTCGGCGGAGCCGGAGCCGCGAACTGCGAGCCGAAGTTCGATTCTTCTCGCTCGGGAGGCTTGTGGACAGAACGTCAGCGAAATGCCCATCCGTGTCAAGGTGGAGGGCAGCTGCCTCAATCAACCGAATCCGTAACTCGGGCTGTGTGAGAGTTTGCTGCGGAGGTCAAGACTGTACAGACCTTGGACTTGTGGACCTGCCTGGATTCAGGCTCCTGCTCGAATGCCTCTTCCAACTCCCACACACCCCACTCTTCTGCCGGCTGGCACCAGACATCTTCCGATCATGTGCTTAACTTCCCTCTGGGGTTGCCCAAAATCATTCTTGCACTGTTCCAGGTTTGCCCACTGCCTGCTTCTGAACCATGCCGAACGGCAACAATGATGGTAGCAATAGCAGTAAGATCGACGGCTCAAATAGTGGTATTTCTAGCAGTCATAGCAACACTTGAAAAAGAGTAGTATGAACTAGGAACAGTCGCAGGAAGCATCACAGCCAAAGTCGTCGCAGCAACGACGACAGTGGTTACACCGACATTCACCCTCGAGCCGGGACGGTCCTGCAGGTCCTATGCCAAGGATGATGCTATGCAGCAGCTGGCCAAAAAGATTGACACTATGGTGTTCAAGTTCATGCCGCTACCCCAGCTCCGATGAGCAACGCGAAGACATCACCCATTGTCGACCCTATTCGATACAGGAACGATGAGAACAACATCATGCTTTGTGTGGAGGAGGCTGGAGACGCTGCAGGCCGCCCTGAGTTCAGAGTTTGCTTTCGCACCGCAACCGGCATGCACTGTGATTGTGGGTCAACTTGAGTGGAGTGTGTCCTGGCTCTGCTAGGCTTTGCCACGCTTGGGAAAGCCAAGCAAGTGGACCCGACATACAAGCGGACCATCCTCATAAGGAACAAGCTCGACAAGTGAGACCACCTGACGTGACACGTGACAAGCATGTCAAGGATGTGAAAGCTGAAGCTGCAGGTACTACGGTGATCTGACACCGGAGAACATCAACAAATGGCGCGAAGCACAGCATTTGGGAAACGATGTTGAGCAGATTGACTCGCAGGATTTTTATGATTCAGGCTGGAGGGCTATGGTGACCTTCCTCAGCACTTGGCACGCTTTGCCGTGTCCTTGCCAGGAGCTCAGCGATAGACATGTGCTTTCTGCCTGGTAATGCTTGCACCGTGAGGCAACTTGATGTTCAACTTCTTGTTTCGAGACTGGTAGCCCCGTTGTGTCCCATTTGCGAAGGCCGCACTGGACTGATACGATGCCCAAAGCGTTCGGCGAGATGCGCAAAGACTTTTGCCTTGATTCATCCAGGGTTCGGAGCAGGGGGTTAAGTTTCTCGTTCCTCTGCCTCGACAGAGGACTGCGCTGACCGAGACATGGAGACGCTGGCTTCGAAGGGTGCATCCGCAAAGTGGGACGCTGAATTTGTGCGTCTTATCATCTAAGCACGGAGAGGTTGCACAATGCACAGAGAAGGTACAAGATGACAATTGGGTTTCAAAACTTTAGAAACTTCATGGAGGCTGGAGCTCGAGGGCACCGCTGTGAGAAATGCACGAGGCAGTTGCCACTTGCAATGCCCTTCGACAGATCAAGATCCAACAACTCTTTGCGGATGCATTGGCACCAATGCTGACCAGACTGAAAACTATGCAGGAGGACTGATCGCCGGTCAGATGTGGATGGTATGTACAGTCTCTCATGGGCAGGAGCACGAGAAGAAGCTGGATGTGATCCGGCAGGAAACAGAGACGATCAATGAGGACCACTTCTGCACTTCTGTGCCTGAGATCTGTGGTTGCTGTTATGGTGTGATGCATTCAGGGAACAGCTAGAGGAAGCTTCACACGTCCTTCGGCCTTTTTCTTCGGCTCTGCAAGCCATGTATCCCTCTGCTCAGGACAACATCCTCCACGCAACGCGTTCAGCTGGAATCACGTTTGCTCAAAGCTTCATCTTTCTTATGGAGGCATCTGCTTCTTTCGAAGTTTTTCCAGATGCGCAGCACTGGGGGCGATTTGCAACCCTGGTGCAGGGCGCGCTGTCTTCCGAGCACAATCGAAAGACGTTGGAAGAAGAGCTCCGGTCGTTTCATGAGTGCCCTCTATCGCACATTCTGTCTCTGCCTGCGCGGGCATATTGCGTTTGCGTAGCATGTTGGAGCTTCTGGTTGATATCGTGTGCGGTCCAGTTGACTAAGATGTTTTCGTGTTCATAGGCTCTTTTTCTCAGGTTGGTTTGTGCTACTGAATCAGTTCCAGGCGACAACATCTGTTGACATCCCACGCCTCATTTCGCGGCAGGTACTGTTCGCGGACGAAGACTTTAGACGAACAGGAACTGCTTCCAGTATCCTTTGAGGACAGGCCTGTTCCTGCCTCTGGACCCCTGCACTTCTGTTTGACCCGTGCCGTGTAATCACGAGGATCTGGATTCGTACGTTGCCTACCTTCGTGATACGGTGAAGCTGCCCGCCATGGACGTGTCGCTCAACGGCGGAGCTCAGTTCCGAAGGCCCTCGAGTAAGTCTGAGTAAGTGAGTTTCTGGTGTTCCTTTTGCTCCACAATATACTGCCATGAATCCATGGCAGTTAAGCTCATGTGTCAAGTTTGCGCTCGCTCCTATGTGGTGACGAGTCATTCCAGGTCATCCTTTGCGTGCGTTTGTTTTCTATCGAGTCGCAAGGGCGGCCAGCATGTTGACAGTGACTTGTGCTGCTACTTTTAATGCTTTGTCGAAAGCGGGTGGCTCTGGGAGGGCTGCAGACTGCACGCATCGCCTACTGCAGGGTGATGTACGAGGTCGAGGTGTTCACCCGCTTCGCGGGGCTCGGCAAGAAGCTGGAGCCCGTGGATGTCATTCAGGTGCGGGATAAGACAAAAAGGCTTCTGAAGGCGTTTGATTTATTCCTGGAACTCCCCGAGGCGAGAGGCTCTGGCTTGAAGGAGTGCACCTGGCAGGACAGGCTCTCGTCATTGTCTTGTGAACTTTGCATCGCTGTCTTGGAATTCGTGATGAAAGCGGGCACCATGCAGGATACCATTACGCAGCTAATGATGCAGCATCCCGTCTTTGGTTTTCCTTACTTGGTGTTTGATGTCAAGTCCGTGCAAACCAGATGGCGATGCCGTTGGATGTCTAGCAAAGGAATGCGCCCACTAGAATGCGCACAAAGACGAAATATGTCGGGGAGCGATTGAAGTTCTTCTTCGGAGAGCAGAAGGAGGCATGGTGCATCGCAACGGTCTGTCGTTTCGGCACTTGGAATTCGCGAACAGGCCACGGTGCAGTTCATGCTCGGACTCACAGGTTCTCCGGAGGAGCATATGTTTTCACGCTTGATTCCCAAGCAGGCCTCCGTCCAGAGCTTCGGTCATGAAAGCTCTTCGCTTTCTCGCAAGCTTGCAAGCAATTGCAGGCACAGGTGATTCAGAGAAATGACACGATGAAAAGATGCATCTTTGATGCCTTCGATGCTGCATGTGACAAGCATCGAATTCGATTTATGCAGAGCCGTGGATGCATACAGTTTGCACTGGCACTCACGAGGACAGAGGGCTCTCGTCTTCAAGTCGTAGTAGCTAGGAAAGTCAATTCTCAGGATGTGGTGCGACTTTATGGACAGCATGTTCCAGTCGCCCCTCATGCTGTTGAAGTCCGGCTCAATGCCATCGATTGGCTCGGGCTACGAGGAGGAGATTGCTCCGACTTTTGAATCAACAAAGGCCCCCCCCTTCTCTAGCGGCTACAGCACAGCAAGTCGTGCACAGTTCTATTGGGGCCCGGGTCTTTCATCGACAGGCGCGCATCCATCAGGAGCGAAGAGGGAGAGGTACTCTGCAGACGGCCCTCAGGCGCTTGTGAATACCTAGCAACCCTAGCACCTTCTTTTTGATCCTCTTTTCCCCGTGTCTGGGAGGGAGAAAGTGAAGCAGATCCCGGACGAAGATGTAATGGCCAAAGAGTCAGTCAAAATGGTCCAAAGGCAGGAAGCGGCGGTTGTCGCAATTCCTTGTGATGGGATTTTCATTTGCACCAGAGCTACAGCGGGGGATCTGCTGTCAAGTCCAGCACAGTGTTTTTGCATGTTTGAGCTTCTACCGCCTCCCACAATCCCTCGTGATCAGCTGGGGTGGCCAAGATGGATTTAAATTCATAGGCATGCGAGGTAGTGTACCAAGTCAACCCCCTCTCTGTTTCAAAACTTTCGTGTATCTCGCTGTATGTCTGACATCGCACCTCTTCAGGATCATTGAGCAGACCTTTGCCGTCATTCGAAGCGCGTGCTCCTGAGCCAATCGAGGTATGTCTTGTTGTGCTTTGGCCTAAGACGAAAGTACCCGATGGTTCTTTCGGGATCGTCTACGTCCAACTCAGCCTGCATTTGTCTGCAAACCCTGTTGTAGCCCTTCGATCTGTCGGCTTCAATGTTCGTCGGCCTGAGGACTCATTGAAAGTAGTGTTTGTTCCAGCAGTTTGCTTCAGGTGGTTGCGGACCACATGCAGCTGTACTCGGAGACTCGGTCTTGTGTTCTGGAGTTCGCATTGTCAACCTTTCGGACCTTTCGTTTTTGGCAGAAACCTCTGGTTCCTTTGCCACTGTGTTGGCTGCGCTGCTGTCGGCACCTAGATTCGAGACCTAGACAAAAGGCCATGCTTCTGATATCATTCGACTGGCTGGCGCTACAACGCACAACTCGTGGGCTCATTCGAGGAGTCCTTCTTCCTTCTCCCCATGCTGCGACGCCTTGAAGGGGTCATGGCTGACATGGAGCTGCAGGACACGGGGGACTGGGCATGAACCAATGACGACGAACGTGCGGAACTTGACAGGAGGAGGACAAGGAGAAGTACAGAGCGCGAAAATCCGTCCTAGAGAAGGAGAAAGCGGCGTCCGAAGGCAGCTTGCTGCGATGTCCATCAATTGCTCCAACACTGGGCTTGACTTGTGTCCTTGGCAGGTATGCTTGCGGACCTTACCCACTGCATCGAAGCAGTTAAAAGATTCAAGGCCGAGTTGCCTTGCTCGTTTGACAGCGCAGCCGGACTTTGCACCGGCCGAAGTATTGCGGCAGCTTTGCTATGCGCTTTCAGGTCACCTACGGTGGGGGGCACTAGCTGCTGAGAGGGCCACTTGTTTTCCATTTCAGCAATGTGAGGCCTCCGCCAGTTTGAAGTGCACCCGCCTCGCAAACTGGTTCTCCGACTTCGCATGGTGACATAGGAGGAAACACACACACACACAAGAGCCACCAGAACAAGTGAGAGCAGACGGTGTCCACAAGCTGTTGTACATTGTTCTGCTGGAAACACAAAGCTTGAACTAGACTCTCCGTGAGTACAGTAGGAGCAGGTGCGGCGCAGCTACAGCGCGTCAGCTTTGCCTAGCCGGTCAATGCGGCTTCGATTTAGAAAGGCAGACTTCCAAGAAGCTGTAGCCGAAATAAGACTGCGGAGGGAAACGGTCCGCGGATTCATGAGAGTTTTTGCCGGCACGCAGTCCAGACCGGCGCGACTTTTGCTGGCAGGATCGCAGACTGGAGGGGCCTGTAGACCTTCCGTGGCAGTGCAACACGATGCGGTTTGGTTTACTACATGGGGTCTGGAAGGTCTAAGATGTGGTTTGCTTCCGCAAATGCAGAGCATGACGCAGACGGCCAGCCATGGTCCTGGCCGTGTTTGCCCTCTCGGCAGCTTTGTTGGCGGTGACAGCATGTGCTGAGAAGTTGCCTGGTTTCTGAAGGTCGAAAGACGCAAGCGGCGGTAAGTCTGTAGTTGCCATCCGTGGTCGGTGCACCCTTGCCTGTTCTGGATGCATCCAAGGCTTCAAGTCTTTGGTCATGCGCTCAACACGGGGCAGACCATTCCACCACGGTGCGTGCAGGCCTGGGTTAAGCTCTTGGCACCGCGCACACATCTCATCGTAAACGAGAGCTTCCCCGTTCATGGTGGTAGGGACACAGACTGTTGTCGTGCGAGATCTCTGTACCTTAATTTTTCCGCTAACGCGAAAGCCGCCTCGGAACTGGTCCGCGCCTCGCTAGTGGAAGACTAGGACAGAACGAAAGCATTACTTACATTACACCTGATCCTCGGCAAATCTCAGGCTGTCAACAGGCAAAAACCTAATCACAAGACATGATGGGCAGTCGTCCTGGAGCAGACGCTAGCTGCAGATATCTGCTGATGCTGTTTTGAGGCTTCAACAATCGCAGTGGAACTGGAGCGGACACGAAGGGCCTGACCGGAAGGTTCAAGAATGTTTGACCCAGGGCCCAGGGCCACTGACGGGTGACGACCTGCGGCAACGGATCGGCTACCGAAGAACAGGAACCTCTTCTAAACTGGTCTACGTCACAATGCCTTGATTTTCGGAGCTTGTGTGGCTGACTCCTGAACTAGCCGAAGATGGAGAAAGGCTTACTTGAGAGCGGCGTCCAGAATGACGAATGCTTTAGGGGCACCGCAAGACCGGCAATCCGAGACAATCAGATCCTGGGCTCAGTGGCTCAACAGGGATCGGCAAGCGAACTTTTAGGTCGAGAAGGTGTGACGCGGACAGCTGGCGTGGTAGCTTTCAGTAAGAAGCCTCCCTTTCTGAAGCCAGGTATCTGACGCAGACTGACTAAGAGCGTTGAAGGGTATTTTGCAACTTAACTGCAAAGGCTGATGAGACGAGTCATCTCCTCTGGGTGGATTGGGCTTTGAAGCCGCCAGGCAGACTGCTGCTGACCACCTCTCTCTGCATAAAGATCATGAAACAGATAAGCTGCTCGTCTTTCCACGATCCATGATGCCTCTGGCCACAGGACCGGCGGCGCATGTAGTTGAGGTGAAAGTCGCCTGGCACACGACACTGCCTGTTGATCCCGAGGCTGGATTCAGCAAATTTCTGGTCTTCCGTTCTTCTCTTGCGGCAATCGCTTCTTGTGGGAGTTGACGCCAGGATCAGGCTGTCTTCGTCGCCCAGCTTCGAAGAAACGGTAGCACCTTCTCCCTGAAGGTGGGCTCGCTTGGAAGCCTGTCAGTAGACGGGAAGTTTTGGGGCTACAAGTGTTGGTGGCCGCACAGATCCGCACAGGACCTTCAGCGTGTGAAGCTGTTCGAGGTTGATGTCATGATTGAGGATCCGCAACTTATGGTGCGTTGTTTGCCGAAGAGCGTCCCATGCCGCCGCGAGGAGCAAGAAGAACAACCAGCTGCTCGAGTGCTTTGGGGTGAGCTAAACCTTGCCTGGATACCCAGTCTGATGCCTGCTCGTTTGCTTGTGGCGAGCTCAACAGCCTCTAGCAGGTCCTTGATGTCGACGGCGGGGACGTGCTCGGCCTGTTGGATTCCTGCGAAGGCCTGGGCCTTTCCTGTAGGAGGCAGAAGGCGGGGCAGAGCAGGCGACAGAGCTCGTCAGGCACCAGCCCCCTTTCGGCACCGTGGGCACATGCAGGCTGCGACGGGTCCGTTAGAGGTTGCAGAGGATCACACGGGATCTCGAGCAAAGTTTGCATCTATTGCTTGGTAGATCAGACTCCGTACGTCGGCAAGACGGCAAGACGGCAAGACGATTTCGCTTGCAGCGCTGATCTGAAGGCGAAGAAGAGATGCAGCACTGGGCCTTGGCATTCACCGTGGCCGCATCCTTGAGCAGACTCTTGTGTTCGGTGAGTGCACACGAGACTGGAAGCTGGCAGAGTTTCGCGCTGGGCAGGGCAGCGACCTCGTTCCCGGCACTGAGGCCCACGCGATCCCAGAAAGGAAACTCCTGCAAGGCACGCCAGCCTGCTTCGCAGGTTGCTTTAAGCTCGGGAGCTCCGGCAATGCCTCCTGCATGGGCTGCTTCCCCAGCGTCAGTTTTACACTTTTCAGGGACTCTGCAAAAACTTCGAATTGCTGGTGGTCAGAGGCATTCAGATTTCGCAGTCTTGACCCAGCAGGCGCGACGTGTGTCCCTTTGCGTATGATTCGAAGGTCCAATCACTGCCCAATCCGAATCCCAATTTCCAATGTCGGGGGAGGTGCCACAGACCAGGGACGGTCAGGCCTGCCCTTGCAGTGATGACATCACTGGAGCCATTGGCTAAGCTGCTAAGCTGCTTGAGTGTATTTTGTCAGGTTCAGCGTTGCAGCTGTTGGCGCGGGTTTTGGAGGAGGCGCCATGCCTGCGCACTGCCGCCTTGTCGGTGACACAGGTGAGGGCCACCCAGACTGCTGCTTCAGGCGAAATGCTCCAACGAAGACAGCCTTCTGAAGAATCTTCGGAGTTTATCAGGATGTTCCTGGGTGCTGCGACCTCAGGAGTGCTTGCCGTGCTGGCAAACGCTGTGTGCGATGTTTTGAATGCTTGAGCGTTCTTGCATGCTCCGAGCAAGCCAGCATCCGACATTCAAAATCGGTATGATGTCGGCGGTCATTCGCAGCCGCCTAATTCCCTACCGTTCCCTTCCCATTGACAAGGGCATTGCCAGTACCCGGGCGGTGCCATCAGTATCGTGACAGAAGAATCGTTCAATAGGTTTGATGCACTATGTCACTACGCCATTCCAGGAAGCTCACCTGCGGCTTAAGTGTTTCTCCTTCCCATGGCACATGCGTGCTTTGACTGCTGCTGCTCTCCGGCGAGAGCTCTTGATGCTGGTGACCTGCCTGGTCGCAATGTGCCCCAGAGCATGGAGCCTTGATTGAACTCAGCTTTTCACACAGGCTCGATTCACACATGTGATTAAAGCTTGCCGAGGTGGCGCAGTGTTTGGACGGCGAGTCCACTCATCGCCAGTCACGGGAACAATTGCAGAAACTCGTCTGCGCCTTTGCGCCCCGGCGGCTTTCGAAAAGTCTCCTCACGTCTTGGGGTTTCAAGCTGGGCTTAGCAGAGGTCCGGCTGCGGGCAACCAACTATTCACACAAACTGCATCTGCTGAGTCCTTGCGTGTCAGGTTGGCAGAGCTTCAGCAGCAGGTGGCTTGGCGTCAGTGGTGACATTTCTGCTGCGGAGATGCGTGTTGAGCCTTAATTGACGGCTTCACTTTTCTTGACTGGGACTTGCCTCCACCTCCTTCTCAGGTCAAGATTGCCGAGTGTCGAGGGTACAACCGCCTGGGCGGCGCCAAGCGGCTCAGTACCAGCTGAGAGATCGAGCTCGTGTTCTCGTCACTTGCCTGCCAGCTGTCCGATGCTGGAGCGCTGGAGCATTCGTGATTTCTGCAGCGCATGCAGCTCTATTGCGAAGCCCAGGAACTGAAGGGCTCCACGGATGGGAGCGACCAGTGGCAGCAGCTTCGTGCCTGGAGCATTGGCAGTTTGCATCTTCAGCAAGCAGAAACCTCAACAGTGTCAAACCAGCTGGCTTCCGATGCGGTCAAATCAGCAATTCTGGTTTCGGCGCAGACGGAAACTTGGTTGCTCATCCTGAGCGGCAGTGAGGAGCGCGACAGTTTCTTTAGTGCAATGCAGATCTTGCAGCTTTACCAGACGCTGGCAGAGCAATGCCCGGTATCCACCCCAAAGAAGGGTGAGGCTGCCACTTTGACGGAATGTGAGGGAGACCGCGCTCTTTTGCGGCAGGGCTCTCAGTTGTTCAGAGACGTGAACACTGTCAATGGGATGTCGGTGTGAAGGCCTCTGCTCGACCAAGGCCACCCGGACGAAGTCCAATCAGCCCGCCGGTGTCGCCCTTTGCATGCAAAGCACCTGCACCGCCCCCGACTCCGCAAAAACCCGATGCTCTGTAGTCACATGATACCATCTGAGTCGTGTGGCAGCTCCTTGTGTGCTCTCGACGAGTGCAAAGCACTGTCTCTGAGAAGCGCAAGCTGCCTTCCGAGCGAAAAGGAGTGGGGAAGATGCAACTCGTGATTAGAGTTGTGCGATGTTGTGAGGCTGCATGGTTGCAGGACTGTGCAGGATGCAAGAGTCACCTTTGAGGGTCTGCCTTCTGCTGAAGGCATGAGTACCCCATCTACATCCTCCATACCGGGTCTTGCACTTGGGAGTCGCTAGAGCCGTCACAGGGTTAACCGAGCTGCTTGCAAAGCCCAATGTAGCAGGGGATTCGACCTACCTTGCCGCGTTGGAGCACAACATGCCAAGGCACATGGAGCGTGCGACGGAGCAGGAACTGCTGATGTGGATGGATGTCGTTCGAACAGCTGCCTCCCCTAGTCCGCGACTCGGCAGAAGGTTGTTTTCTGTCGCACGAGCGAACGTACGAGCAAAGTGTTGCTCATGCTTGGGCAGCCGTTTTTCTCCTTCCGCGTGATCATGCACACGGGCTATCTCAGAGAAAACTGCGAATTCTGGCAAGCTGAATGTCGAACCTTCTAGGCTTGGACCTTCGCTTCATCGACGTGTCAGACGACTTTCAAACGGTGAAGCTTGGAGATGGGCAGGCGGATGCACAAAGATTCAGATGGAGTGTCGCAGATGAGCGTGACTGGCTAAGACTGCAGGTCCGTCTAGACCGACTTGATCTGCCATCCGCCAAGATGAGCCCGGTGGTTTGAGCTCTCATCGTCTTGGGCGGTTCCATCTGAGTCTCAAGTTTCCCCGCATCGTGTAAGGATGTGGATGGATGCGACACGTTCAGATTCGCCTCGGATACGGAAAGAAAAGCCACGCCGGCACGAGGCCTGTCGGTCAGTGCAAGTGGCAAGCGTCGTCGAAATTTGCAGCTATCTGATTTGTCCACAGGCAGGGTACCGACACATGTGTCGGTTTCAAAGCTCGAATGTTCTGGAACTGCCAGCTTTTCAGCGAATGCTCGGCACTCAGAAGCCTGCTGATGCGGGCTTGCGGATCGTGCGGAGCGAAGCGATTG